ACATGAATACATGACAACAATGTGTGCCCAATCATATTCAGACCAGAATATTTCTTTACATCCATGGCTAATATTGGTGATGTAATTCTCCCAAAAAATTAACTGTTAAATCTAGATGAAAGTGGTTACTGCGCCCTCAATGTTGACAATTTGTACAAGCAGCAATGACCTACACACGCATTACACGCTTGAAAAACCTCCCAGATGATCCTAACTCTATAACATGTTATTAATTTGCGCAAAAAGTGAAAGCAGCGTAACAGTTGCAATCAGAGGAGGATAAGTCTCTTAGAGTATTTCAGCTTGAGAAATGTGACAATTTAAAAAATGTAACAGCATTGCTAAGTCTCGAAAAGTCAGAAAATAGCAAACTTGATACAAAGCACTGCAAATATTATTTCAAACCATACTGAAACTTCCTTGCAACATACTGACCCCAAACCTACCTGCCAACCCTAACCCCTCCCCTGAAACTGTATAATGCCAAAGTCTTGTCTTATTCAATTAAAAATAGAATTTTTTTTGAAAAGATTATTACACACTTATATAACACATGTGTCTTTGGAGCAACAATGTCCATTTTGTTTTAAAAAAATTATTACAAAAAATGGTCATTTATTAAACCCTTTTCTCCTCATAGCAAGATGCACTTAAAAAGAAATATCCTCCTCAATTACAAATTCAATACATCAATTTTTTACTACCGTACATTTTTCAGTGTTTACATCGGTAAATGCTAAACAAGGCATTGCATGGGGCTAGCAATATCACTACAATATATAGGGTCATGCAAAGGAAGACACACACACAGACAGACATCATAAGACATAAGCAGTGTAGCTAATAACTGCACTTACATGGTCATCACTGATGAAAAAGAAGGAGGTCAGGAGAGGGTGTTTAAAAAAAAAAAAAAAAAATGGTAGAAAGTAGAATAAGATTGTTAATAGAGGGGTTTTTGGTTATTAAAGTAGCAGCTAGTACGCCAACAGTCAATACTCTGCACTCTGAAATCATACAGCTGTATACTGTTATGTGAAACATTTAATTATGTATATGCATGAATTTTCTGAAGTGTTTGAGGGTTATCTCTTGTCGTAATTCGGAAATGAGACAAATGTCTGTGAACACATGTACCTCATAAATGCTATTCACAAACGTTAGCAAATGAAATTCAAATTCAGCATGGAATGTGAACCCAAAATCATTTCCAACTAATTGAAAATTGAATGTTTTCCTTTATTGGGTGCATATTCATACCATCCAATATTTCACACAATAGTCCTAAACCCTGATACGACTTTGGAATTGATCTTAAAGAATAACCTTAAAATAAACAAGAAATAACCAAACTATGTTTGCTATTATTATGTTTAAAGTATAGTTTGCAAAGCTATTTGACAATCAGTAAGCGGCATTCTAACAAATTGATTGCACAGTCAGGAGAAGTACATGTATATTTCTTCATCACAAAACATTATAACGACTGCATGACAATGCCATTGTGACATTTGTTACTATACCTCATACTTGACATGCACTTGACATTCACACAAATTAAATATCATTCAATTCAATATATATTTATATTATAGGGAAAAATTAAAAAAATAAAAAAAAATTACATGCAATCATCTTGTAACAATACACAAAGGACCAATTAACCAGACCAATGCCAAATGAGTGGTCACTGATCACATTACACAGGTGATCTTCATAAGAAAACGTCAAGTTGTAAATAGAGGGAACTATAGACTGTCGATATTTACCTTCAGTATCTGGAGTTGTAACAGCTGACGGATCACTCATCATGGCAGTGAATATATTAAACGCTACCAGTAAGCAACACAGTAATATGGGTCCAAGGAATGCACCTTCCAGTCCAACACAGTATATCCCACCAACAACGCTAAACCAGTTAAATATGGGTGACCACCTCTAGATAGATAACAAATAAAGATACGTGACCTAAACTGGTCTCCATGAAGTATTTGTGTGGGTTGCACTCACCCTGGTAGTATCAAATGTAGCACACTCAATATTAAATAATTGTTATCGCGCAATTAACAAATTTGAAATACCAATATGTGAGATATTTCAATACAAATTGGTTTACTTTTTTTTATCATAATAAAATCTCAGGTAAATTTCACCTCCTTTTTCAAATTTTTTTATCTAGGTTGTTAATTAATCAATAACATGTGACTGTAATGATTTGAGGCTATGACGTTTAGTTTACTTATTTGCATAATGATATTGATACATTGTATGGAACATCTCGTGAGTATTTAGACTCAGTTCCAGGCCCAGCAGTTGAGCAGTAAACACCTTGGCTACAAATGCTCCTCTCCAGTGTGTTATTCTCCTCCCGGATTTGGTGACCAATACTCACTTAGTTCACTCTACCTTGAGAAGTCTGTTCTCAGTTTACAGTGGTAAACAGTGGTAAATGATCATCATTGTTATATTGTCTGTACTTTGTGGGTATGTGCATGCAGCTGACAAACTTATACCACAAGATATCATTTCAAGTGATGCTGCATATCGATTTTTTTTTTAATTATGTTTTTCATGCAAGCTGAGAGAATTTAACATTGACTTTCGACTTTTTTTATGTGTGGATAGCAAGTCAAAGTGCTGATAATACATTTTCCACAGTTAGTATAGCCCATGTTGGGATTACATGATAGGTTCATGTGACCATTTGTAAGTCTTGATCAATGATTTTGGCTTCCTCTATTAAATATGTGGCATGCTCACTAAGGGAAGTGGTCAACCCCATTCTGGCATTCAACCCCATGTAAGATTTGAACTCAGATTTACGGATAATAAGCCTGATCCAACAACTACTATCGGTTTCTGCTTATTGATATACCTACCCAGTAATATCGGAATAGATGGCAGTGTCAACAACATATGTTGGAAGAATATGGCAGAAGATCAGTAATACTGCCAATACTGATTCTCCTTGGACTAGTAAATCAATAACTCCTGGCAATGCTGCCCAATATGTACCCAGAAATGGAACAGCACCTAAAAACGCAGCTAGTGCTGAAAAATATACAATATTATTATTATATTACACAATCAATGCAAAATATACTATAATAGATTTATTTGTGTATAATGACCTCATAACATTCAATAAAGTCTATAATTACACCCATGGAGGTATAATTACACCCATGGAGGTTTATTATAACCTCACTAAGTCCATGAGTGTAGACTGACTTTACTAAATTAATGACCACATTATAAAATCCATCATCAAGGTATATACCAACTCTAACTCATTAAAGTAATCCTTACTTCATCAAATTAATGACCTCATCATAAAATCCATCAAAGTGTATAATGACCATGCTATATTCAATGCAGTAGAGTCTGATAATAACCAAATTAAGGATATACCAACCTGATGGAATGAATACAATTTTTACTTCAAACACTGTATGTGTCAACCAAGTATAAAGTCCATAAAAGGCAGCCATTTTAACAGAAGCACCAAATACACCCCTGAAAACAAATACAGAACAGTTAAATTAAAAATAAACTGGAGTTGATTTGTCCAAAGCAACTCATATATATATATATACCTTTACCATGAATTTTGTTGGTGTTTGAATGTATTTAGATGAATAAACAACTATCTATAAATGCAAGTGTGATAATGGCTACACTTATAGGTAAACACTTATTGTTGCTCGAGAAGGAGGAAGAGAGTGAAGGGGAAAATACAATTTCTTCCCAAATATTAACTGAACAAAATAATTTGCATGAGAATAAAATTATTGCAGAAAATATAACCCTCCCAGTTGGCTGCAGCTCACAGCAAATAAAAATAATTTGCACACATTTTGGACCTAGCACCCCCAGTAAAAATAATGGTTCAGTCCTGCTACCTGATGGCTTCTTCTACTGCCTGTCCAAGTTTATT